TTTCAAAGAGAAGAGTGAACTGGGGGGGGGGCAGGGAGAAAAGTGCAACAATGAATGAATGGAAATCCAAAATATCTGTAACTTTTCATTAAAATTAATAATAATGATAATAGTCCATTATAGTGTATGCCACATTGTGATTATCCACTAATCTATTGGTGGGAGCTCTGGTGGCCTTGTGGCAAGAAGCTGCACTGCCATCCCAAAGGCACATGGTTCGAGGCCACCAGCTCCTCCACACAGAAAGGATGGGCAGTCTCCTTCCATGGGATTAAACACACCAGAGTGTCAGCTATGGGTCAGTTCCACAACATCAGCTGATGGCCATTGGAGTGGTTTCCAGGGTGCTGGCCTAGTGGTAAGAAACCATGCTCTAATCTCAAAGCCACACCCTTCGAATCCACTAGCCACTCTACAGGAGAAGGATGGGCAGGCTCCTCTCGTGCAATTTACTCCCTCTGAAAACCCACTAGAGGATCAGCCATGAGTCGTCTACACTTAGACGACACACAACAACACCAACAGAGTGGTGTCCAGCTTTGACACTGTCTAGAGCTCTGCTAGCTGCCCAAGTCAAGACTCTGAACCCTGTTTTAGGCAAAGACCTCCCTTACTCCTCTCTCTGACTTTTGTCTCCTGCAGGATTCGGAATGACGACTCCATCGACCGTAGGAGGAAAAATTTTCCTGATCTTCTATGGCCTCTTTGGGTGCGCAAGCACCATCTTGTTCTTCAACCTCTTCCTGGAGCGCCTGATCACAGTCATTGCATACATCATGAAGTTATGCCACCAGCGACAGCTCCAGAGACGAGGGACGCTGGCCCAGGAGGGCCTCCAGGACCCGAGGAAGGCTGAAGTGGACAGGCTGGCCGGCTGGAAGCCGTCCGTGTACTACGTCATGCTGATCCTGTGCCTGGCCTCCCTCCTCGTCTCCTGCTGTGCGTCCGCCCTCTATTCTCTCATGGAAGGGTGGAGCTACTTTGACTCGCTCTACTTCTGTTTCGTGGCTTTCAGCACCATTGGCTTTGGGGACCTTGTGAGCAGCCAGAAGACCCAGTATGGCAACCAAAGCTTCTACCGCGTTGCCAACTTTGTCTTCATCCTCATGGGCGTCTGCTGCATCTACTCCTTGTTCAATGTCATCTCCATCCTCATCAAACAGTTCGTCAACTGGATCTTGAGGAAAATGTGTGGTCGGTGCTACCAGCTCTGCCGAAGGAGACTCTTCCGGTCCCGGAGGAATGTGGTCATGCCGGGCGGTATCCGGAAACGATGCAACGTCTCCGTGGACACGGACGGAGTGATGGACAGCGACACTGATGGGCGGCGTCTCTCGGGGGAGATGATCTCCATGAAGGACTTCTTGGAAGCCAACAAGGTCTCCTTGGCCATCCTCCAGAAGCAGCTCTTTGAAACAGCCAATGGCTACCCCCACCGGACCAGCACACTGTCCCAAGACAATGAATTCTCAGGGGGTGTGGGAGCCTTGGCAATAATGAACAACAGGCTGGCAGAGACAAGTGGGGACAGGTAGAAGCCAGCAATGGATGCTGGGTATGGAAGCCTGGGGGCGAGGAGCAGAGGAGATGGTCATCCAAAGACCAGCTCAGTTGCGTTCATTTTGGAAGCTGCTCTTTTTTCGCCTGCACAGCCCAGGTGGTGCCAACAGTTCAGTGTTAGGCTACTAACCTAAAAGTTGGTGGTTTGAAGCCACCCACAGACACCTTGGAAGAAAGGCATGGTGACCTGCTTCCTAAAGGCCTTAACTCCCCACTGTAAACCCAAGGACCACCATTGGTCTCCTCTACAACCAGTAGAGGTCTTCATTTCAGCCCAACTTTAGAAACTAGATTTGGGGGGCTCCAGTATGTAGCCACCTCACGTGGCCTTGGGAAACATGAAGCCTCGATGCCTTTCTCCTCACCTTTATCCCTCAAACCAGGTTTTTAATCATGAGTCACAAAAGCAGCAGAAGCTGTTCCATTATTGTTTTTTAACTCATCTCAGCCCGGGTTCACAGCTGAAGGGAGGTGGGATTTACTTAAGCTTTGATTTTCTGCTGAAAATAAAAATGTGGAAGATGTTGGCTTTTCCTTGGAGCTCTGAGTGACTGGATCCATGGCCTCAGTCTTTGAGAAAAAGGGTGGTGGGTGGGGAATGTACCAGAATGTACTGAGCTCCTTTCTTAATAGAACCTCCTTCAGAGGAGGAGGTGCCATGGATAAGGGAGACATCTGCTGTGCTTTTTTGACTTGCCTGTCTGATTTGTTTGTTTGTTTGTTTCCTTTTCTTTACTCCTTAAGATCTTAAGATCTTATTGTTTGGCTAAGGTGTTATCTTCTTTAGATCTGGTTCTCTGCAGGCCCCCGATGGGGTAAGAAAATGAAATTCTACATCAGGCTTTGAAACTTTGGTAAGATGAGGGGTTTTCACCTTACTAACTGAAGAACAGAGCTTATCAACATTTTCCCTTCTGATAGGCCCAAGAAACCATTTCCTTTTTACCAGGGCTTGGGACCTCCCTGCAAAAATAACAGCTGAGTATTTATTAGAGCTGAACATTTAATAAATCCTTGCTTTACAGATTACAGGAGTGCTCATTATGGGCGGTTGGAGGGAGGGGCTCATAATTAAGCAGGCGTTTGTTGCATGCAGAGAAAAAGGAAATGAGAAATTAGCTGAAAGGCTGTTAGGGATGGAGCTTCATGTTGGAGTCCTGGCTGGAGGAACATCCCAGCCAGATAATGAAATGGGGCTCCTCTCATCTGATTCATTTCAGCTCTGCCTTCTGGGACTGGAACAAGCCTCATTGCATAACCTTCCTGGTAAGTGTAGAGCACCATCTTGGTATCTGTTTAAATAAAAGCAGAAGAGTTATATTGATGGATAGTGATTGTTGGCACCAGGAAAAACAACATTCTCAAACAGTAGAAATAGCTGCTGTTAGCTGCACTGCAATTCCAATCCCCAAGGTGTATGGTTCGAATCCACCAGATGCTCTGCTAGAGAAAAAGGAACAATCTCCTCCTGTACCAGTCAGATCCAATTTCACACACACACACACACACACACACACACACACACACACACACACACTAATAATAGTAATAAAGAAAGAAATAGCTGTTCTTCAGACAGTGAGTGGAAAAGGATACATTCTTGTGTCATTGGAAGAGAAACTGCAGGTTCCAACATTCTTAACTGGCTGAAAGACCAGTCTGGAAAGCTTCAGGCGGGATAATAGGGAAGCAGGGATTTGGCAGAGATAGGTGAGTAACACATAAACAGGTCAACAGTACATAGCTTTCAGTTAATTACAGACAGATTTTTCAGGTAATTCATTAACAAACCACTACTGGTCTGTCAACTTGTCATACTGTGGTGGCTTCTGTGTGGCTGTGACAGTGGCAGCTATACCACCAGCATATCAAATGCTAGCAGGGTTAACCTGGTGGACAGGTTTTAGGGGAGCTTCCAGACTAAGACAGACTAAGAACCAAGACGGGCCATCCACATCGGAAATAGGAGGCCTTTGGAAACCCTGAGAATTGTCCTGGAACATTGTTGGCTATAGAGCTGAAAAATGAGCCCCTGACTCAACATGTGCCAGGGAAAGAGCTGCCTTCTCGAAGCAGAGTCTACCGCATTGGACAGATGGAGGAAAGCTTGGGCCCAATGAAGCATCTTCATTTGCTCTAGCTGACTGTTTCTCGGATCCATTGTAAAGATCGGTCAATAATGCTGTCCATCAAGACCCTTCAGGCATGCACTATTATCCATCTGGCCTCTGGTAGGCTGTCATGAAAAAGACCCATTAGGAATAGAATGTGATAGTGTGCTATTCTACACCTATCCAGTCTTAAAGTGAATGTCCTCCCTGGGGTCCATAACCAGGTCAGCACCAAGGCCAGAGGGAAAGTAACCTTTAAAAACCTGATGCAAAATGCATGTGAGTGATTGTATGAAACAATGTGAATGAAAGAATGTGTGAAGCACAGTGTGCATGAAAGAAACACAATGCATATGAATTTTGCATGTAAAGCAATATAAAAGGGAAAAAATACTATGTGAATTCCACACATCGGTTAAGGCTCTGCTTTCAGACTGCACTCTTTACACTCAAATGCCTCTGATTCAAACTCTCAGACACAATCTAAATGTGCATATAGGGACTAAAGCCTTCTTCATAGTTGAAGGAGAGGGCATTGTAGGGATGGTAACAGAGATACAGGCATCTCTGTCCAAATAGCCCATAGAGAGTTGCACCATTGACCCACAGGCCATGCTTCTCTGAAGGTTCGAATCCATTAGCAGCTCCATGAGAGAAAGATGGGCGGTCTCCTGCCGTGCGATTTACAGCCTCAGAAACCCAGTGGTGGGTCAGCTGTGAATCTGAACCACTTGAGGGCAGTGAGAGAACAGAGATCCAGACGCAGAGCACTGCTGGTGTCCATGAGTGCTGTGCACAGAGCCCCTTCAGAAAGGATGAGGAAAGACAGTGCAGAAAACCTATGGCCAGTGAAACAGGAAGGTTAAGCTGAGAACCTCAGAGCTGGGAGGATACCTAGGAGCCGTTTCGTCCAACCCCTTAGAGCTTTTCTGTTTTGTTTTTCATTGAGGTGATGCTTTTTTCTTAATAATTTTAATGAACATTTACAGAGAATTTGAATTTCCATTCATTCATTGTTGCACTTTTTTACCTGCCCAGCCCTCTCCCCCTGCCACGCAATTCGCTCCTCTCTTTCAAAAATAAAAGAAAGACTCCCTCCCTAGTACACAATCCCCCTGCACCCCTCCCACCACCCCAAGTACATTCCACTATGCAACCTTAATTGTGGACTCTTGTGATAACATAATACCCTATCGTACATTGCTTTTAAATTATTCTCTCCCTCATCTGTTTCAGTGCAGTATACACAATTTATCCAGTTTTTCTCAGTCTCACCCCAACCCCAAGGTCAGTCCCATTTTACAGCAGTGGCACCATGCAATATTTGTCCTTTTGCGACTGAGATATTTCACTCAGCATAATGTCCTCCAGGCTCACCCATTTCGAATAATTTTGAATGAGTTCCTTGTTTTTCAATGCAGCATAATATTCCATTGTGTGAATACACCACAGCTTCTCTATCCATTCGTTTGTTGATGGGCACCTGGGTTGTTTCCAACTCCTTGCGATTGTGAACAGAGCTGCGATAAACATGGGTGTGCATTGATGCTCTTTTAACATACAATTAACCGCTTGAAAGTGTATAGTTCAGAGACATTCATGTCTCATACCACTTGCAACTGCTCTCTCTGTATGATTTCTACATGATTTGCATCACTCCAGAGGAAAAGACTGCCCCTTGTCTGAGCCTTCGAGGTGAAAGGGGTAGAATCTGGAGAAGACCTCGGGGCTCATGAGAGTGAGGTCATGGCTTCACAAGCAGCCTGGGATCCTGCCTTTAAGAGCTCCGTCTTCCCTCAGAGTTACCTTTTCTCCCAACAGGCAAACTCCAAAATCTGCTTTGTAAGTCAGCCAGAGCTGGATTTCTGCCTCCTGCCTTAAGGTCAAGTTACGATTAATCCTTTTCCTCCTCCTCCTCCATCATCGCCATCACCATGATCATCCTTGATTGGCTACTCCCTCTATGTCAGACATGATGCAGGGCTTCATCAAAGCTTATCAACTTCTCCCCTGCTGGCCTCACAACAATCCAAGGCAGGCTTTCTTCTCCTCACTTTATGGGCATCCGTGGTGAGCTAGAACATTCTTCCCTGCCCTTCTCTCCACCATGATACCTGAGGAAGCCAGATGGGACTCAGATTTCTACTCCTACTAGAGGTGACCATGTAAAAAGCAGGGTAGTATCACCAGAGACCTATGGAGGGGAAGGAAATCCTATCACCACTCAGCACTAACAAGGTTGAATGAATGAATGCATGTTGAAGGAAGCCGGGCTGAGAGCCTGGGTCTTTTCATTCCTACCTGACAATAGTAAGGTATTACTTCTCTTTGCCCACCCAGTGTGGTATCTCAGGAGGCCTACTAAAAACAAGTTAAGGCCCAGAATCTCGTATCATAATTCTCAAAATGTCCACAAGGCAACTGAAAATCACTTGTCAGGCTGAAAAGCAGGTCACAGCGTGAATGAAAAGCAACAGGTGTGAACATCAGGGTGGCACAGATGTTAGAATTATCTCACAAGGATTTTCAGACAGCTGTAACAAAAATGGCTTAATAATGGGCTACATAACTACCTTAAAGTAAAAAAAGGACAATAACTGAAACTTTAAAATCCAGTGAGTGAAGGGAGCTCTGGTGGCCTAGTGGCAAGAAGTTGCACTGCAATCCCAGAGGTACATGGTTCGAATCCACTAGATACTTTGCTGGAAAAGGAGGGGCAGTCTCCTCCTGTGCCAGTCAGATCCGATTTGATGGTACACGCACACAAAATAATAAAATAAAATAAAATAAAAAAACAGTGAGTGACCCAAGCTGCAGGGTAGACAAGACTAAGGAAAGAAATGGTAAACTTAAAAACTGAGCAG